TGTGTGTGTTTGAATGAAAATGTCACCAGTGGGATGCAACTCAAGCGCAGACTGACCTGACCTATGCATTTCTGATTCTGGATTAAAAACAAGAGACAGATGCTCAATCACTCAAAGCCCACCTTTTGTCTCCCTTTGCCATTTATGTACATGTATGTTGTAGTGTATATGCAGACACACAGACTATGCTAAGAGACATCTCACATTTAAATATACAGTGAGCATAGAGCCCAAAGTAATGCGCCGACTCACATCTACAGATGCCCTTTTAATCTATTACTCTCTGGCATACAGGATGACAGCACATGTACTTTACACTCTGGCACGCACAAATACATGGTGGCATGAACACTAACAGGAGGTCTACTTTGGGGAGATGGCTTAATGATTCTGACTCATCATGTTGCTGGTCATAGATTTCTCAGTGTCATTTCCCTGGGCCTCTCCCAGCGAGGCCAGAGAGCTGGCTGGATAGTTTAAAACACTAATCCCTAACAGCGTCACTATGTCCTGTTGGTACTGATTTAGCCAGACATCATTTATCTGGAAATTAGTCGTTTGTGTAGTGAGTATTTTAGGTGTTCAGCATGTCTTTATTAACTGTACATAATTATTGCCTTTTGTTGAAGTTAGTTTTCATACAGCTTTTCCTCCTGTTGCGGTGTACAGGCAAGGCCAGCGCAGTTTGTTTGGGTTTTGTCTTGTTGGCTGATGGGTTAGGAGAAACTGGGTCAGAGAGCTGCTACCTGGAAGCACCACTTTGCCATTCTTGTTTCCTCCTTCCCTCATGCTACTGTAGCTTGGTAATTCTGAACAAAGGCGCTAGGGCTGTCACTTTTTGTTAGAATTTTTAACATATATTCGAATGTGGTTAAAAAAAAACAAACAAATGTAATGACCTTTTCAAATTATTCTGTCAGTAAGTGAAACAGGTCATTTGATGTAATTTGCCTTGCAGTCCAACAGAAGACATTTTTAAAATTCACTATCATCTTGACCAGTTACATTGACCTGTTTTGACCTCTCAGTAAAGTAAACTAGTAAAATTGTTTGCAAGGACAAAATGCAGGATAGTAGTGTTAGTAACCTTGCCTGACTGTCCTACCCCTGCAGCTTACTTGCCCTGAAGAAGACTGGTGGGTCAAAATGTTGGCTGCACATACTAAAATACATCATGTAAGCCTTCAGTGTGAGGTCATTTTTTCCATTTCCCTAACCCTGCAGCATGTCATATCTTAGCTAAGCTCTTCTGAGAGAGAGCCAAAGCAGTGAGAGGTACTAATATATTTATTTTTTATTAAATATTACACCCAACTCTGTACTTTTTTTTCTCATGTCAGTTTGAACATCGTTCAAACATAATTTTTGAAAATAGTGACAACCCTAACAGGAACCAGTCTTAGATTTATCGTTAAAATATTTGTTGAACTGATTAATCAGCTGTGAAGATAATATGGGCACTACACAGGCGTTTCTAAGATTAACTGGAGTGATGTGCCTTTTTACTATGGAGCAGTAAACACACCAGAACTATACTGACTTAACATGATATAGATGCAACTACTTTCTTCCTTTAGTGACTGAGCTTTCTGTTGAATTGTCTATGTGACAATGATGAAACTGTTTAGCACGGTGGGGCTCTTTACATCATCATGTTCATTAACTGTCATACAACACAATGTAATGATAAATTGCCTGCTGTTTCTGTACAGTACAACAGCCTAATTGTACAGTATTTACACAAGGTCCAAAGCTTTAGCAAGTCAGGGGTGTTGTAAAGCAGTGCTGTTGATTTTGCACACACCAACAGTCCTGCAAAACCCTTTGCAGAGCTGTTGATTCCAATGCTAATTTGAGGTTATAGTAATCCTATTGTATTCACAAGTATCTCTGATAATTTGTTGAACCACATTTTCACAATAGATTGCAGGCTACCAAAAATCACCAACATTACTCTGGATCACTTTTAACACAGTTTCAATATAAGCAAAGCTTCCAAAGCACAGGATTTGTTGTGGGGCTAGGCTATGTGACTCTAATATGCTGTTACTCTGTGCACATTCATTGTCATGGAGCCACTTGGTTCATGATTTTACAAACTAACAATTTAAGAGTTTTACATTTTATTTCTCCTTTCAGACACTGAAGCGGAAAGAGAAGGAGTACGAGCATGACATGGAGCGCCTGGCGAGGGAGAAAATAGCCACGCAACAACGACTAGCAGAACTGAAGAATGAGCTGAGCCAGTGGATGGATGTGATAGAGATCGACCGTGTTGTGCGACAAACAGTGCAGCCTGAGGAGGACCAGGCCTCGACCTCCACTGCCTCAGGTAGGCTGTCATTACAGCTAGTACATGCGCGCAGTACTCAAATAGCCTCCAGATCATCTTTGTTAAATGTAGATGGACAGTCATATTGCATCTAGTCTGAGTTAATTTTGTCTGGTGTTTCAGAAGGTGAAGATGTAATGGACAATGATCTTGATGAGGAAACTATGCTGAGAGCACAGACTGCTTTACCCTCTGTGCCCCAAACCATGAAACCTGAGCTGTACAAGACTGCAACACCCACCCAGACCCCAACCCTGACACCTACTACTACCACCTCCATCCTCACTCAACACATCTCCATCCAGCACAAAGCCCCTCTGCACCAGCCTCAGCTGCTGTCGGCAACTCCTGCCCAGCCAATGTCCAAGCCTGCGCCTCCACCTGCGCTTGCAGCAACAACATCCAGCAGTCCCACCGCCCCTAGTCAAGCCTTGATCCTCACCCAGACACAGATGGCAACCACGCCCACCCTACACCCCACAGTTATTGCCCACACATCAGTGTCCCATCCCTCTGTCATCCAAGCAGTCAACCATGGCATCCAGGGAGAGGGTCCCAAACACATTATGCACCTGGCTTCTTCCTCCCCCACCAGCTCTGTTCAGTTAGCCCCTGGCCACCAGCCCATTGGCCACATCACCGTGCACCCAGTGGCTCACCTGAGTCAGCATCTGCCTGCCCTCTATCCTCAGCCAGTGGCTGTCACACAGCCAGCTGTGGTCAGTCACATCACTCACACATTAAACCACGCCCAGGTGAATGGTGCTACCCCCAGCCAGCCAGCTGCCACCATCACTGGCAAACAGACAGCACTGAGCACCCAAATGGTGACCCACCACACCCAGCTGGTGGGGCAGACGGTACTCAATCCTGTAACAATGGTGACGATGCCCTCGTTCCCCATCAGCACTCTGAAGCTGGCCTGAACACCAACAGTAGGACCAGGCTGCAGAAAGAAATCCCCCATGATAGGGGAGACCCACAGGTCACAGACCAGCAAGTGACAAGCCCACAGCAAGGGCAGGAGAGCTGCTGGCCACCTTACTGATAAATATTACAGCACATTAAGCATTACAGCTGTTAAAAAGCAACCAGGAACATTCCTAAAACAAAGTGCAAACCTCTTTCAACACTAGCCTACTGCAGTGTCCTAAACTCTCAATCCAGAAATTGGGATATGCCAGACTGCATGTGGTTGAGTGTGTGGGGTAATGCATAGTTTTTAGACTCATTTGCCATCTCTTATTACAGATAATGGAACAGTAGTCATTTTCTCATGAGATTTACAGAAACTGTTTCATATAGGAAAAGGTTAGGTTCCCCATGTAGGTACAGGTGAATGACTGTGCTTCCCAGATGGCTGTGGAGTAACCCATACTAGATTATGTACTGAGAGGATACACTGGCTTTTACATGTAGGTACAGGTGAATGACTGTGCTTCCCAGATAGTGCTGGACCCGCCATAACTAGCAGCACATTGGGAATGTGCGGAGGCACATTCTGCAGGGCTGGAGCTAAATCATGGACTGAACTTTACCTGAACCTCCTGACCCGGAGCTACATAATTCAGTCATGTTGTATATTGCTATAGCTCCCCCTGCTGGCTGTTTTTCAGTGTTGTCTTGAATACCACCCTGAAATGATAAGAACACAGAGATTAAAGGTGACTTGGTATAAAAGAATATACAGCTTTGTCAGGGTTGGGTTTTTAGCCATTAATTTACTCATCTTTAGTATCTGTTCTTCAGTTATACTGGCACATATACAAGTTAGTGTTTTAGCATAATGTTGTCACAGCTGCTAATATATACGTTAAATATATTTGACATATTGGATCAGTGTGTCTGTCTACATGTCTCCAAATGTAAATGCCTCTGACAGCAGTCTTAAATCCTAAACATAATCTGATTCTACAAGGCGAGGGAACTCAGTGTTTAGAGAGCCTGAATGTGAAAACCTAATGGTCCTTAAAATATAGTAAAGTGTGTTTCTGTGCCGTCTTGTGTAGTAGTAGGACGTGTTTTCCAGCTGTGGGTGCATGCCATGACTGTGTTACTGATTATTTGGAAAGTTGCAGTTTAGCACAGCAACACTGTGGCCTCCATATTTAATCTGAATGTACTGATCTGTGAAATGTTAGAGTAGCGCACTCATCAGGTTAAGCTTTTTTTTTTTTTTTTAAGAAATGCAATTACTTTATCAAGTTATTACGCATACTAAACTATCATGTATGTAAAGTGTCATTTAGAACTGATTTTATATTTTAAGATTTACTGTTGCTTGTTTCATCTGGACAATAACTTCTGTTCAGTGTAAATATTTTATTTTATTCTGGGACCATGTACAGTGCTGTATATTGGGGCAGATGACTACCCATGTTGAGATCACATTCAGCCACTTTGGAAAGTTTTAACCCCTTAATTTTTTTAATTTATTTTTTTTTTTCGCGATGCAATAGGACTACAGGGACTTTGTACTTAATGAGCTATAGAAAAATGCTAAAACAACTTCTCTTTCATTGCCAGATTTTATGAACATGCAATTTGAAATCATACTGTAGCAAAACCAAATGTGTAAAAGTTAACAGGGATTCAGATACTTGAAGAAGCAGCAATACACATGTGTTTTCCCTATGGAGAAAGTTTAAGTTGCATATTGCCTGTAAATACTGGACTGCATTTATATCCAACTATCATGTAAAAAGCTGGGGAAAATATGTACAATTAAAAGTTTATTAAAAAAGATGCTTAATAAGATGCTTAATAAATTGTTTTATGTTTACAAATGCCTGAAATTGTATTTTAATTTACTGCAGCAAAGCACACTTTTTTTTTATAATTTGGGGTCTTGGTATACAGGCTGAAGAAAAGTCATATACTTTTAGCTGCAACTACCAGTCCAGTTAGTTTTACTTCAAAAAAACAAAAAACAGGCAATTATTTTACAGAGTAACAGTTTGGTCAATAAAATCTGAAAATAGTAAAAATACCAACAGGAGTTTCTGAAAGCCTACAGCGACACCTTAGTTGTCTGATGACCAAATTAATTGACTAATTGCTTGGGCTCTACTATTAGTTACAAGGAGCTCAGTTTTTCAGTGACATCTATTTTTCACAAACATTTTTAACAGCAAATTAGAGCCACTTTTCTTATTAATGTTCAGTATTTGTTTATATTTGTTAACGTGTCATTGTGAGGCTGCAGCTACATTGTTGTTGTGGCCTGAAGACACTTTCTGATACTGCAGCTCACTACAGGGAGATGCCTTGCAACAAATAAAGTGCCTCTTATTCTCACTCAATTAACCAATAGAAGGAATGCGTTACATCACGTGACAAGCTATAGACAAGAATAGAAGACTGACTAGTGACCAAATTTATTCAAAGTGTGACTTACTTTTTTCAAAGGTTGCACTGGGTTATGCATGAACGACTGCTCTCCCTACAGAAATAGTGGACAGACGTTAATCTCTGCAACACTGTCAGTGCAATGCTTATCCGCAGGTCTGTCACTCTTCTCATGAAGCAGACTTCCAATCTATCAAATTCAAATGTGCCGATCCACACTGACTCCGAGACGTGTCATCCCTGGACCCCTTTATTGCATTTATGAGTCTATGTTTTTCCTTTAGCGCATTTTAAGTGTAATCACCACAAATAGAAGCTTAAATCAGGTAGATCACCTTTGAGTGAGCTTGCATTTAGCTAGCTGCATGAGAGAGCTGAACTGTACAAGATGTCTAACACTACTACTACTACTACTACTACTACTACTACTACTACTACTACTTTGGCTGCTCCTGTCAGGGGTCACCACAGCAAATCCAATTTGCATGAGTACTTTGGCATGATTTTACACCGGATGCCCTTTCTGACACACCAACACACACATCACCAAAGAGCAGAAATTCTTCTTCAGAAGAAAATGAGCTACAAATAGGCTAAATCACAAACAGCAAAGCATGTAAGCAATCATCATCAGTGTCACCATTATCATATTGACTGCTAGGGTATAGAGTACTAAAGTGACTACACAAAAAGATGGAAATCTGTTCCAGAAGTTATTTTCCCATTTACTGTGTTCCATAAGTCTCCCGCTCTCTGAATTTCATTATAAATTTAGTCTATATACACTTCTTCTTTTGGCTGTTCCCGTTAGGGGTCGCCACAGCAAATCATCTGTTTCCACCTAACTCTATCCTTGGCATCCTCTACTCTCACACCAGTTAACTTCATGTCCTCTTTTAGCACATCCATATATCTCCTCTTTGGCCTTCCTCTTGACCTCTTGCCTGGCAGCTCCATCTCCAACATTCTTCTACCAGTATAACCACTATCCCTCCTCTGCACATGTCCAAACCATCTCAATCTGGCCTCTCTGACCTTGTCCCCAAAACAGCCGACCTGAGCTGTCCCTCTGATGTGCTCATTCCTAATCCTGTCCATCCTGGTCACTCCTAAAGAGAACCTCAACATCCTCATCTCTGCTACCTCCATCTCTGCCTCTTGTCTTTTCCTCACTGCTACAGTCTCTAACCCATACAGCATAGCTGGTCTCACTACTGTCTTGTACACCTTTCCTTTGATTCTTGCTGCCACTCTTCTGTCACACAACACTCCTGACACCTTTCTCCACCCACTCCAACCTGCCTGCACTCGCCTCTTCACCTCTTTCCTACACTCCCCATCACACTGGACTGTTGACCCCAAATACTTAAACTCCTGCACCTTCTTGACCTCTGCCCCCTGTAACCTCACTGTTCCACTTCCCTCCCTCTCGTTCATACACATGTATTCTGTCTTACTACGACTGACTTTCATTCCTCTTCTTTCCAGAGCAGACCTCCACCTTTCCAGGTGTTCCTCCACCTGCTCTCTGCTCTCACTACAGATCACAATGTCATCCGCAAACATCATTGTCCACGGAGATTCCTGTCTGACCTCATCTGTCAACCTGTCCATCACCATAGCAAACAAGAAGGGACTCAAAGCCGATCCTTGATGTAGCCCCACCTCCACTTTGAACTCCTCTGTCTGACCTACAGCACATCTCACTACTGTCGTACTCCTCTCATACATGTCCTGAACTACTCAAAACGTACTTCTCTGTCACTCCTGACATCCTCATACAGTACCATAGCTCCTCTTTCGGCATTCTGTCGTACGCTTTCTCCAAATCCACAAAGACACAATGCAGCTCCTTCTGACCATCTCTACACTTCTCCATTAACATTCCCAGAGCAAAAATTGCATCAGTAGTGCTCTTTCTGGGCATGAAGCCATAGTGCTGCTCACAGATATCCACTTCCTTTCTTAGCCTAGCTTCCACTACTCTTTTCCATAGCTTCATTGTGTGGCTCATCAACTTTATACCTCTGTAGATGCTACAACTCTGCACATCACCCTTGTTCTTAAAGATTGGCACTAGAACACTTCTCCTCCATTCCTCAGGCATCTTCTCACTCTCTAAAATCCTGTTGAACAAACTAGATAGAAACTCCACTGCTGTCTCTCCTAGACACTTCCACACCTCTACAGGTACAGTGGGTACGAAAAGTATTCAAACCCCCTTACATTTTTCACTCTTTGTTATATTGCAGCCATATACTAAAATGATCTAAGTTCATTTTTTTCCTCATTAATGTACACACAGCACCCCATATTGACAGAAAAACACTGAATGTTTGACATTTTTGCAGATTTATTAAAAAAGAAAAACTGAAATATCACATGGTCATAAGTATTCAGACCCTTTGCTCAGTATTTAGTAGAAGCACCCTTTTGAGCTAATACAGCCATGAGTCTTTTTGGGAATGATGCAACAAGTTTTCACACCTGCATTTGGGGATCCTCTGCCATTCCTCCTTGCAGATCCTCTCCAGTGCTGTCAGGTTGGATGGTAAACGTTGGTGGACAGCCATTTTCAGGTCTCTCCAGAGATGCTCAATGGGGTTTAAGTCAGGGCTCTGGCTGGGCCATTCAAGAACAGTCACAGAGTTGTTGTAAAGCCACTCCTTC